CGTTGGCCTGGAGAGTTGAAGAGTCGTAGCGCGAATTACTCGCCGCGCGCCCTGGCGGCGAGCTCCTTCTTGACCAGCTCCTCCGCCTCCGCGATGGCCCTGGCCTCGGAGCGATCGGGCGCAACGAGGCAGCAGGGGGCGGAGGGGGCGTCGAGGCAGGGGCGAAAATGAAGAGAGCGCGGAGGAGGGCGTCGAGAAGGGCGTCGGTGAGAATCTGGCCTTGTCGGCCTCATCGCCCGCGATGTACTTCAGGCTGACGTTGCTGCCAGGGACGCCGACCCTGCCGCTGCGGAACTGCACCTGGGGGGCGGAGCAACGATGAACAGTCGCCTGAAAGGCGGCGGGCGCGCAAACTGCGACCCCAGCGGGGCTGCTGGGAATCGCCGCGCGCGCCCGACGCCTCATCGGTGGGAGGTTCAACCCCGCTCGCCAAGTTGCGTGTGGTCTGCATCTCCCACCTCGGCTTCGCCCACTTGCGCTGCTTGTCCTTCCCAGCCGCGCCGTCCGTCTTCTTGCCCGTGGGGAGCGGCGTCTTCTTAGCCACGTTGCCCGTGGCAGGCGGCGTCGTCTTCTTTGCCGCGTTGTCATTGCCAGGCGGCGTCGTCTTCTTAGCAGCATTGCCCGTGGCAAGCGTGGGGGCCTTCACCGCCTCGGCGTTCTTTTTCGTCTTGACCGCCTTCGTCCTCTTATCCATGGCCGCGACCATGGCCAGAGCCGCCTCCGTCGGGGTCTTCTTCAGAGAGCCTGCGGCGATGCCGACCTTCTCAGCCTTGGGCGGCGGCGTCACGGCGACGATGCCGAAGTCGGAGTCGGAGTCGAGCTCGATCGGCAGCTCATGCTTCTTCTGCTTCTTCGCCGCGCGGCTCTTGCTGATCGAGGCCGTTTGGGCGGCGGCGGTGCTCGATAACGGCTGACAGTCGGCGGGTTTGCCGCCATCGTGTGCCGCCAGTTGCTGCGTCGACGGCGCATCCGAACTCCCCGCCGCCATCGAAAGCTGGTGGTTCGAACCTGCTCGTTCTTGCAACGGCTCCTGCGGCTGCTGCGTCTGCGAGCGGTCGATCAGCTGGATGGCTGGGTTGGGCCAGCGGCCGCCGCTGCGCGAAAGCCCCACCTGAAATCAGGCGGATCACCGCCGAACGAAAATATTCCCCCCCCCCCCATCCCCCTAGGGGGATGGGGGGGGGGAATATTTCACAACACGCCCTCCATCCAGGCATCCAGAAACGTACCCCGCGCCGATCCAGGAACCCACCCCTCGACCCAATACCAGGTGTCCCGCGGGGGAATGCGTTCTGTTATTCCCCGTGGAGCCGTCGGCCAGCGCCCAGAGAACGAATCGGCCGCCGCGATGGGGAGGTGCTGCTGAGGAGAGCCGCCGCCTGGGCCGTGGGATGGCTGCAGCCCGCCGCGGGCGGGCGCAGGCGCGGGCAGCGCGAGGTGGCCGCTCTTCTTCCCTGCACGGAGATTAATCAGCTTCGCAATCGTCACCATCTCGACGGGATTTATCTGCGGCGCCGTCGCTCCAACACCTGGCGGGAAGGCGTCGACGTACGTGATGGGGTACTGAGACTGGAGCCTCCCAGGCGTGATGGGGAGAGCCTGGATGCCATCCCTGGGCGGCGGCATCGTCGCCACGAGATTCTTGAACGAGGATTTCACTGTGGCCAGATATGACTGCAACAGCTCCCTCGTGATCTCGCCCGTCTCCACGCCTGTCTGCTTGCACACCAGCAACAAGAATGCTGCCATATTGGCGGCCGTCGGGCAGCTCGGATGCCTCAGGCCAAGCGCCCCGAGGTGCTCTGAGAACGCCGCCATCTTGGCAGTGAAGCCCGAATGCGGCGAGAGCACGAACTCCCACAACTGAGGCGTCAGAAATTCAATGAACCCCTCGTAGTTCTGGAGCTTCCTCCCCTGCAGGCTGCCCGACGACAGAGCCTGCAAGAAGTCTCCCAGCTCGGACTGCGCCCACCCCACGCCGCCGCCCAAAGCAGCAAACTGCGCACTCTGGAGCTGCGACCAGCGCTGGGACGTCGCCGCCTGGATGCAGGCAGGAAGGTGCTCCGTCGCGCTGCCGCGCGCTACGAACGCCGCCCGCGCCTCCTCCAGGCGGCCTCGAAGGATGCCCTCCATGGCAGCGACGCGGCGCGACCGCGCGCCGAGCGGAGTGCGCGACTCCCCGCGCGCGCACGCCGCCCGAAGCCCACGGAGGAGGGCTCGCCAAAAACGGATCGAGCCAACGCGCGTGCGACGGACATATCCTACTCCTGCTCTTCCTGCTCCTCCTCCTCCTCCCCCTCCTCCTCCTCCTCCTCCTCCTCCCCCTCCTCCCCCTCCTCCCCCTCCTCCTCCTCCTCCTTCTCCTCTTCCTCCTCTCCCTCCTCCTCCTCCTCCTCCTGGGTGAGGGGGGGCGCAGGGGGGAGAGGGTGTCGAAGGGGGGGCGGGGGAGGGGGTGCCGAAGGGTGCGCGGGGGGGAAGAAGAGAGCTATGGGGGAGGGTGGGTCAAGGAGAGGCCAGGGAGGGGAGGGGGGAAAGGGGTGGGCGGCTTGCCGCCGAGGGGGTGGAAGGAGGCGGCAAAGCAAGCCGCCGATAGGGCGGTTGGGAAGAAGCGGTTTCCCGCCACGAGGAGGAGAAGGCGGTTTGCCGCCAGAGGAGGAGTAGGCGGTTTGCCCCCAGAAGGGGTAGGCGGTTTGCCGCCAGAGGAGGAGAAGGCGGTTTGCCGCCAGAAGGGGTAGGCGGTTTGCCGCCAAAGGAGGAGAAAGCGGTTTGCCGCCAGAAGGGCGGTTTGCCGCCACGGAGGGGGAGAAGGCGGATTGCCGCCATGGGGGGGGGAGAAGGCGGATTACCGCCGACGGAGGACGAGGCGACGGAGGAGAAGGCGGTGCGCCGCCTAAGGAAAGGGGGGATAAGGGAGGGCCGAAGACACATGGATAAACATTTTCCTCCTTCCCTCCCCCCTCCCCGCGGGCATGCGCGCAGCCCGCAGCGCCGCGGCCGCGAGGTACAGCAAGTACCTGCGGCGCCTCGGTCCTGAACAACTGAACAACAACAACAACGGAAATTCAATGGATTTCAAAAAAGTTAAGAATAAAAAATACGCAAATGATTAGCAAAAACACGAATATGTTCAGCCCCATCGACTTAGCAGAGATATCTAACTTAGTATATTACTTACATCTACACTTACAAACACCATAAGTATTGCATATGCACACATGAGATGCGCGATCAACAAGTGTACGTTCTATGGCTTAACTAAGATTATGTAAGATGAACGCTCTTACCGCACTTACAGCCACCCGACGATCAAAGCAGGCATCCGGCGCACCGATCTTTTCGACGCGTGGGCCCCGGGATGTCTCTGGACCCCTTCCCAGCCCTGACCTTCCAGAGTGCTATAAAAAGATCCCTCCAGACCTATATACCTACCAGGACACCTTCAGACCTCCACCAAAAATATCAACTTCCAAGGTCATCGCTATTTTTTAGACCACCTGGAAGGTCAGGGAATGACCGGCGTTTCATCCCGAGCCGCTTTTTGAAGGCCCCGGGGCCTGGGTAAAGGCCACCAGAGGCCAGAAATCGGGAAGATACCGGCCGCCTCGACGGGACCCAGAGATCCGATGGCTTGATGCTGTCTCCATACACGGTCCCCGAAAGTCCCGTCCCTTTCCCTAGGACCGGCTTTTGATCCCGAGCCGCTTTTGGACGGGCCCAGGGCCCGCTGACGGCCTTCTAGCGCCGAAAGATACTAAAAATGAGAGGAAGAAAACAGTACAGATCCAGCTCTGAACCACAACTCAGGCACGGTGGCCTCTGAACCACAACTCAGGCACGGTGGCGGGATGGGCCGACTACTGGGAGGAGGAGCAAAGACGACGACGATAGGAATGCGGAAGATAAAGTCGGGCCATGACGCCCCCAAGACGTCAAAGATTGCCTCCAAAAAAAAACAAGGGGTCGGCGGTGTGGCGTAAGCCTAAAGAGTCGTTGAAACCTGAACGTACACAATTGACACCTGCTGCAACATGGAATCACAGTAGATGCATATACGTCACAGCGTGCTGAAAGGATTCCGAGGATGGTCCTGCAATACCTCCACGCTATGGGCGGATATGGACGGCTGCCTCGGTCTGCGCACGGCAGCATGTGTTGGGTGGGGCAGAACGAGATGCCTACACACGCACATCGGGAACCCCAGTCCTCTGGCGATCCATCGTCCAGATGCTCCATGGAAGTATCGGGCAATGCCATTGAGCCTCGCGGAAGATGCCTGCTGCCTCCATGTACGGCCGAGGATCGAGCTTCGAGGGTCAGTGTTTTCAGACGTTCGTCACCCTGGTCTTGGCCCGCGGAGGAGGCGCCTCGTCACCGCGGCCACACACGCCACGAGATTCTGGTCGCAGAGCGCCCCAGCTGAGGTCCAGGAGTCGAATCGACATTACGACTGGAAGTCTTTGGATTAAGCCAGCGGAGCTTCCAGATTGCGAGCGGGGTCTCTGTCGAACACATGAAGTCCAGCGGTAGGTCGGGCAACTGCATGAGGCTCAGGCTCGTCCTCTGAGAAGGGAGCCGGTGCGGAAGCTTCTTTTGGGCACTTGCCCCCCCTTATCAAAATGATGTCAACTCACCCTGCTCCGCAAAACCTGGATCCCCCAAACGAGCACTGGAACGCCCAGAAGCAGACGAAAGCCATGTCCCTCGACCGTCGAGGACGAGGAGAGCTTGCACCGTGCCACGCCGCAGCTTCGGCCACGGCCGTCGCCGACGCCGTGCAGGACGCGGTCGAGATTGTGGTCGTCGTCGTCGTCGTCGAGGCGGAGATCGTGCCGTTGTCGTGGTCGTGGCCGTCCAGGTCGAGGTCGTGGTCGTGGTCGTCGTGGTCGTGGCCGTCCGTCCGTCGTGGCCGTCGCGTCTCTACGGCCGGGGGCCGGCCACCTCGGGCGGTCTGCTTGACCCCCGCCGAGGGCCGCCCCCTATGAGAGGGGGGGGGGTCCTGCGGCGGGTACGGCGGCCTCGCGTCCGTCACGCGCGCCTCGCATGGGGGGGGCGGTGGACGTCGGCGGGAGGGGGGGGGGGGAGGAGAGAGGAAGGGCGAGGAGGGAGGAAGGGCGAGGAGGAGGAGGAGGAGGAGGAAAGCGTAGCAGGATCAGGAGGAGGAGGAGCGAGGAGCCCGTCACAGTGGATTTCTGAGCTGATCGATGAGACGGAAAGCTTAGCGCGCTGAAACCCTGCCTTTGCCACAAAAGTGGGACGTGAGGCGGAGGGACAGCGAAGATGAAGAAGAGAGAGGAAGAGCGATGAGGGAGGAGGGTCGGCAAAATTAGTCATGCGCTCCAGCGTTTGCCACTTCCCTCCCCCATTTCACACGCCCTTAACAAAATGGATACCACATTCATTATGTTCGCCATCATATTCGTGCCCGTCTTTATCTTCATACTCTCATCTTTTCGCACCCCTTCGCTGAACGTATGTTCCGAAACATCAACGCGGCACCACGTGATAATAATAAAACACTCGATCAATGCCACCATACGCAAGGCGCACCCCAAATGACGGTCAATGAGGGAACGGACAACAAACGCCGGAGCCTAAAGTAAGCACGATTCTCTAGAACAGTGCTCGCAGGACGCACGCATACTGTCAGGGGCGATGGTCTGCGAGATACGCTCAGAGGCACGTGCTCTCGCACGTGCATAGCCTCCCGCACGGCAGTCCTGCCAACTCGAAGCGTCTGCGCCCTGTGGCATTCACTCATGGGCACTCATGGGTGGGTCAGCAAACATACCCATTGACAGGTGTCACTTTTGGAACCAACGGGCAGGCACTAACTATACAACTGGTACGAGCGTCTGCCACCCAGAAGACTGCCGAACCCATTCTCCACAGGTCACAGTACATGATGTAATATGCAATAGTGCTGGAGGCAGTTCGAGCAACTGTCCGCAGGCGCATCGTCTCTGAGCAGCGTGTGGCAACCACAAATTGGCTGCCCTGCGAAGATAGAGTCATTGCAACCCGATGCGGGGACGTTGCACGGAAATTCAAGAACTCTGACTTCTGGGTTCTTCTCCGAGGTGGCGTCCAGAGAGCACGGAGGCCGTGGTCATCGTGCATGCAGCCAGTGTTGGGGTGCTTGAGCAAGTCGAGGTGGCCTCGCTGCGTCTGGGCCCATTCCCAAACGAGGCCGATGCCAGGGGAGCGGAACGCAGCAGGCGCGCTGTGGTGTCGTCCAGGGACCGTCGGGCGGACCACCCCCACGACGCCCAGGACCACCACGCGGACCACCACGCGGACCGCCGAGCTGTCGTCCAGGTGCCGCTACGTCCAGGGACTCCTTCCTCTCCGCGACCGCGATGTCCAGGGCACGCTGTGGTGCGCCCAAGGGGTTACCACGCCTGGCATTCCTCCTCTCGAACTCCAGCGCGCGCTCGACTACCCACAGGCTCCTCGCATGCCGCCTCCAGACTGCAGGTGTACTCGTAGGTGTCTATAGGCCGTGTCTCGGCCGGCATTGGACTCCTTGGTCTGGCGGCGGGAAGCGGTGTGTGAACTTCTGTGCGCAAGCTTCGTAACAAAACAACTTTGTTGGTCGCTAATGCTGGTCGTGTAGTGCGACGGTTGCCCTGCGGCAATTGCCCGGGTCGCGCAGTGCAAGACATGACCCGCAATTACCCTGTGGCCTTGAATTCCGGAAAGGCCTGGTTACGGCAATCGGACGACTTGAAAGGGTTGAAAGGGTCGGTGCCGTCGTTCTTGACGATGTTGGGTTCCTGTGAGTGGTGAGTGCTAGATGGTCGAAATTATCTGACAAGCTTGACCCCTGCAGAGGTAAGAGCAGCGGCCTTCAGAACACCAGGGGAGCGGGGCCCAGTTATGGCCAACGAGGCAGGTCTGGAAAACTACGCGCTTGAGGATGCGGGCTGCGTGTTGGAATGACCCCACTACTGCTGCAGCATGGATGGCAACTGAGGAGAAGCATGAAGATGAGAAGCAAGAGAAGGGAGGAACAGCAGTCGCAGAAGCATGAAGGATGGGGAGAAGGCGCGGGAGGCTGTACCATGTAAGCGCGAGAAAGATGATGTAGACGTCGAAGGGTGTTTGTAGACGAAATGGTCACGTCCTGCTTGGGCCCAAGGACAGCTCGCGGACGCCGAGATTGATCAAAAAGAGCTGGTGCCGAAAAGCCACGACGTCGGATGTTTTGGGCCTCTGGCGGTCTCCTGGGATCTGAAGAGGCCCTCCGCGAGGCCCCGTGGCCCCACACGGAGGCCCCCGAGGGGGCCCCAGGAGGCCTCCTGATGCCCGTGCCTGGCCCAATGCGTCCTGAAATTCCCCGCCCTCGCTCCTGCAAGAACACGAAACGATGAGCTGGCAAAGCTACCTACACATGAACTGCCGGAAGTCCGAACGGACTTTTCTGGGACCGTGCTGGGCCCCGCCCCCCGCGAGCGGAGCGCGCCAGGGGCGGCGCCACAGGCGCCGCCACGGGGGGCTCCCACTGGGGGGTCCGACGCCGACCCGAGAAACATGCGATGACCCCCGAAAGTTTACCGCTGTCGTGCTACTTGCCGTGAGGAGCGCCAGATACTGACCGAATGGCGAGCGTTTCCTTACTCGGCGTTTCGACATTGGGCGCAAGGGAATGGGCGGGAGGGGCGAGGTCTGCGACTGTTTGCAGCAGTGCGTCCTGTGGGGGAGACCCCACCTGCTCGAAACAGGCGCGCAAGACCGCCAACATCTACTCCAAGAGGGGGGGGGGAGGGGAGGTGCGAGGGCTCGCGCCGTCCGGACCTCTCCCGGGGTGTGTTCTGAACTTCGAGGCGAATCCAGCGGTGGCGACGAGGGCCTCCCAGAAGGCCCCACAAAGGCGAATACGAGGGAAGGGCAACGGTATGGGTACCTCTTCCGCCTCTGAGAAAATACTGAAAGAATGGCACGTTCTGTTTCCCGGGCGCATGCGTTTTTTTTGCAAGACATCAGTGCAGTCGTACGCATGGCGCTGTCGTTGCATCTGCAGATGTGCAGAGCTGAGTGAAACTGAACACCGCGATGTCTGTAACTGCGGCATGTACCAGCCTTCGCAAAGATCCGAACCCCTCCCCAACACATCTCTTACATGTCCGTGTCTCCCAATCCAGGCCCGAGTCTACAAATCGCTCGCTGTGCGTCCTCCACCATAAGAGCTTGTGAGTCGATTTCAAACACTTGGCACCAACTCAGAGGCAACGTCTTCGCGGCGTAAAATGGGAAAGATACCACCAAGGGGCAATAGGCGGGCTCCGTTATGATTATTCAATGGCACTGTAATCATAACAACACTGCGTACTTTGAGTATGAATTCCGCCAATTTCGCCCAATCGAGTAGGAGAAGGAAGAGGAGGCGGAGAAGGGAGAACACCGACGAGGACGGGGGCAGGAGGATATCGAGTAGTCTTGGCACAGTCCCTGCACTTCATGTAAGTGCAATTTCATGCGGATTACGCTGATTTGCCCTACAAATGCAAAGCGAAACGGGATACAACGAAAGTGCGTGCGTGATGACAGTCCGCTCAGAGATCGGCACTCCTCCCGACCACCTCTCTTCCATGTTTGCATTTGGCGCAACAGCGCGCAATTGCTGCGCGCGCCCACACCTGGAGCTGGTTGCGCAAGTGCAGCGAGTGAAACACGTCCGCATTAATGTCTTCGCGGTTGGGGAACACTCCCCCAAACAATACACCCGCCCCGGCCGCTAAAATAACTGTGGAGTACTGGGGACGCCAGCACCCGTCGATATAAATATAACAGTTGGCGTTGCGGCATCACTAACAGTGGGTCTCGCACGGCCTCGACGGTCGCGTTGCGCGAAGATTCAGAGGGCCGACGCTGCGACTGCAGGTGCGCCCGACCAAGGCGGCGACCCAGCAAAGCCCTACAGACAGGGGCACCATGGCCCCGCGAAAACTGCTCTCAAGGGGCACCCCGGGGAACGTGACAAGGGGGGCGACGACATAGAGAGAGAGAGAGAAAGAGCAGAGTGAACACCCTACGAGATCAGCACTCTGAACTGAGGCGGCGTCAGTCTGCCCACAGGCCACACGCGCACGCGCGCTCGCACGGCCTTGCTCAAGGCCTTGCGCTGCATGCGGCGGCGCTGGGTCGGCTGAGTGCATGTGCTCCAGCCTGGGAGGTGTGCCGATCACCACCTGGGGCAGGGGGGCAGGGGAATGCCGAACTCCTCCTGCATCTGCATCGGGCGGCGCTTTGTGCGGGGACTCTGGACTTTGACTAAAACACCTGTAGCCGTTGCAGCTTGAGCCAAAATGGCTACGGAGTTTCCCGGGCGCATGTTGTTGGTGCCCAGGGGACGGTGCCCACTTGCGGAGGAAGAACGGTTCGTTGGACCCTCAGGTTCTTCACCGCCTCTCGTCGTCCCGTGCTGCTGCCACTGCATAGATTCTGCATCGTACGCGATACAATGCTTAGGTATGTCCTCCTACAGGCGGCTTGTGGAAGGGAAAAGAGGGACAACAAATATTCAAACAGATTCAACAATAATCGAACAATCGTCCCCAGACTGTTGACTATTTTTGAATACTCCTCTTGTAGAGGGACATGCCCGGCTTAACACTATGCTTCAATTGCGCGCTGTGAGAAGATAGGCGAGCGTGTGGTACAGCATGTACGCGAATCCGCGTTTTTGGTCCAAAGCGTCTACTCGATGGAGCCGCGAACAATGTGGTATGTTGCAGAGACTTGAGCACGAGACCAACCACACCTGCTTCGTTATTGAAACCTACTTTGACCAAACACCCACAGCTGTTGGACGGCACAGCCCGACGCAACGAAACCAACTTAGCGCAATGGTTGGAGGAACAGGTTTCAACTCATTTAAGCTGGAGGTTGCTCTGGGAAATTGGCCGCTGTGTTTCGCCACGCCCGCAATGGGTACGAGAACAAAGGACAGGATGCCCTACAGCAGATGTTGTCCAAAACCTACAGCGGCCGCTGGTGGGCAGGCGAATTTGTGCCTCAAATGGACATCACCCACGC